CTGGGAAAGGGGATCCAGCACTGGGAAAGGAGGTTCAGCACTGGGAAGGGGGGTCCAGCTGTGGGAGGACCATCCTGTGGCTCCAAGTCCAACAGGAACAGCCCAGGGCAGGGCTGTGGCTGCAGCTCACACTGCAGGCTGTACTTAGGCAAAGAACAGGCTTTTTTTGGGGATGTAGTCAGGCTTTGGCCAGTGACAGGATGGATTTATTTAACTTCTGGTGGCAGTGCTCCCTCTGGAATCGCCGTGGTGGCTCACATGGAAGTGTTTGGGCTGTTTAAATTCGTGTGAGGCTCTAAAACTCATCCTGTTGGGCATCACCCCGTTCACCCTTCTGAGCAACACTCAGGACTTGGCCTTTCAGAGAACAGAAAAGAGGAATAATGACCCTAAAAACTGATTTACTAGTGATTCACTCAAGTTATTGTCAGGTAGGAGTCCAGTTTGCATTCCCAGGTTGGGAGCCCTGGGATGGGGAAGGGTTTGGGGCAGGAGGAAACAGGAATGGGCAGTTCACAGCCTTGTGTCTTCTTTAGGATCCTAAAGGGACACCAGAAAGCTGGATTTTTTGGGGTTTTTTAATGAATCTGCTGCACAAACTTCCTCCTCTCACCCTCTTCCTCTTTGCTGAGCCCCGGGAAGGGCCGTGGTTTTGTGGTGCTCCAGGAGGGCACAGCCTGTTCTGCTGCTGGGAGTGTGTCCGGGTTGCAAATTAGGGAATTGAAATAAAAAGTTGCAGCACAATTTGCCTCAAGGGAAAGTGTGTCCCATGTTTATTAAAACCCAAGAAGTGATGGAGAAGCTGTTATTTTCACTGGACCCCAGGAATAAGCCCTGAGACCAGCTTGGCTGCTCCCTGGTTTATATTTTTAGTCAGTCAGGTTTTCTAACAATATTTTCAATTGCTATTTTTTTCTGGCTTAAGTCTCTTCTCCTTAATTTGAAAACTCGCTTGGAAGGTTCTTAGCAATTTGTGACAAGCCAAATGGTCACTAAATTATACAGGAGCTGTTTTGGGGACCTTGGAGATTCCTGTCAGACCGTTCAGAACGAAATCCTAAAGCTCTGGAGCTTTTTTTGCCTGAACCAAACTGAAATTCTAAGAAAAGGGAAGGCACAGAAAACATCAGGAGCCGCCTGATGTGTCTCTTTTGACCTTTTCTCTTACGTGCAAGCAAATGGAAAGTGCTTTTCTTTTGTTGCCAGCATTACTGATTTAAAATCAGGCTTCAGCAATGCCTCTGAGAGGCTTCCCAGGTCAGCCTGGTGCTGTTATCTTTCAGAAAAGCTGAAAGGATGGGACTGGACTTGTTAAATCAATTGGATTTCTTTTACTTCAGAGCTGAGGAGGGGGGGTGGGTGTTTGTTTTCCTGCCTTTGTTGAGGAGATGCTGCAGGCCTCAGCCTGCCCTGCCTGTGCTCTCACTGTAAACAATCCTCCTCTGGATGCTGCTTCCAGAAAGTTCCTGGGAATGGGGTTTTTGGGGTGCTGGGGCTGTGGGCTGAGACTTCTCAGAGTAGGGGTGTTTTGTGAGGAAAGTGAGGGGCTGGTGTGGGTTAATTGGTGATTTTCAGGTTGTCTGAGGTGGTAAAACCGTGTCTGTGCCCTGAGAAACCAGTGGCAGAAGTGCCAAAGTCCAAAATATTTGGGTCTTACAGGAGAGCTGGAAAGGGACTGGGGACAAGGGATGGAGGGACAGGACAGGGGGGAATGGCTCCAAACTAAAAGAGGAGATTTAGGTGGGATATTGGGAAGGAATTCCTGGCTGTGAGGGTGGGGAGGCCCTGGCATAAGTTGCCCAGAGAAGCTGTGGCTGCCCCTGGATCCCTGGAAGTGTCCAAGGCCAGGTTGGACGGGGCTTGGAGCCACCTGGGCTAGTGGGAGGTGTCCCTGCCCATGGCAGGGGGTGGAATGGGATGAGCTTTAAGGTCCCTTCCAACCCAAACCATTCCATGATTCCGTGGAATACTTTGCTCAGCAGCATCTCAGCCTTCAAGGATGGAGGAATTGACCCAAACCAGGTGACAAAAGGAGCAGAAGAAACGAGTTTTCTTCCTCCACCAGCGATGGCTCATTGGGGATCGAGGCTGTTCTGGGAACCCTCTGGAAGCAGCTGCCTCCTTGGGAAGCCCCAGGACACGTTTGCTGCTGTAGTTTGGGTTCAGGAGCCTCTTATTCCCCTGGGAGAGCAGAGTTTGGGAGCTGCCTGGGACAGATGTGCTGGCTGGGCTGGGCCCCCTTCCCGAGCCAGGGCTGGAGCCTCAGGAGAGCAGCGTTACTGCAGCTCCTGTGGAGCTCTTGGATTTCATTGTGCTGGGGAACAAAATCAGGGATAAACCACTTTGGAGAGCCCAGCCCGTGGCCTTGGAGGGTGTGGGTTTGTGCCACAGCCCAAACTTGTCCCCAGAGTGGAGCCCAAGAGCCCCGGGTGGGTGTGGGGGAGCTCCGGGTGCCCCCTGAGCTTTGCTTCCAGAGCCTTGAGGGCACTTCTGACTCCTTGAATCCATGTGCTTCAAAGTTTGGCCCGAAGATGGGACCAAACCTGAGCCCCCCTGAGGTGGGGGGTGGTTGGTCTCCCTGGTTTCCTCGCCCGGAGTGCCCCAGGGGTGGTTTGTTGCAGGTTACAGCGCCCCGAGCGCGCCCCCCGCGTACCCCCAGCCCGTGCAGGGCTACGGCAGCGCCGCCTACGACACCAGCACGGCCACGGCCACCACCACCCCGACGTCCTACGCCGCCCCCGCCGCCTACGGCACCCAGCCCGCGTACCCGGCCTACGGGCAGCAGCCGGCCCCCGCCGCGCCCGCCAGGTACGGCCTTCCTCCCCAACCCCGTGCTCTTCATCCTCCTCTTCCTTCTCCTCCTCAGCCTCATCCTCTTCCTTCTCCTCCCAGCATCCTCCTCCTCTTCCTTCTCCTCCCCAGCATCCTCCTCCTCTTCCTTCTCCTCCCCAGCATCATCCTCCTCTTCCTTCTCCTCCCCGGCCCCATGCTCCTCATCCTCCTCTTCCTTCTCCTCCTCAGCCTCATCCTCCTCTTCCTTCTCCTCCCCAGCATCCTCCTCCTCTTCC